TCATAAAGTTTAAGTTTTGCCGTTAATGGCATATGATCTGATTCTACTCGGGCCTCTACATGAAACGATTCAATCAGTTCAAACGCATCAATACTGGCAATGCAATAATCATTTACCGAAGAACCCTGGCTAGATATGAACGTAAACTCGCAAGTTTTATCTCCTTGCACACGACCATTTAAAATATACAACTTGTACGTATAACACATTTCCATTAGCATTCTACCAAATCTATTTATTGAGTTATCACAAGATTGTCTGTGTCAAGAGGCACTAACTCTTCGTCAGGGAACACATCTCCCAGAAAGTTCGGTTATGGTTCAGGTGGTTCATTGCCTGTCCCAACCCTGGAGTTCAGATCACCGGTGATAACTATATGACAGTCAGAAAGAATATCCAGGTTTTCTGAGAACCACTGATCAAGTAGTTCTATACTTGGTGGTTTCCCACACGATGTGTAGTATGTCGACCCCTCGGGTGGTATGTAGAGACCTATCAAAATAACATCTTTCTTACTTTGCAATATCTGTTTAGAAATACGAAAGGCAATTAGATTATCGATATCCAACTTCAGTAAAGTGCAGAACTGGGATACGATGTTATGTATGAAAGCAAATACTCCTCCCGACAATCTCCCATGCCTGGCCGTTTTCATTGCTTTCGCTATGTATTGTGTATAGTCAGACAATTCAGGGACAGCAATGATGCTGTCTCTAAACGTCTCATACAGAAAAATTAGTTGAAACCTAATCAAATAGGAAATGAAATCTGTATCCTCTAATTTAGAGGCTATACCGTTGATGTTCCAAGAGAGAACCTCTAACAAATGTGTAAGTGGGTACTCATCTGATATGCTATCAGCTGTTGATGTAGGTTGCTGCGGGCCTTTGCCACACCTATTCATCAGGAGTCCCCGTAGGTTGAGCCTGTGCTTCATCCTCTCGACTGCTGTCACGTGAGGGTGCAGACTCTTGTCGGGGTAGCCCGTGACCTTGCCCTTGCAGCCGTTTTTCTGCGGACCGGGACAATGGTTCTGGTGCTTGTGGATTCATTCTCATTCATCAGTCTTGTGATCAGTCTACCATTTTTGTAGAAGGCAATCAAACCACAACTGCGCTTATCAGCGATAGTTGATCTCTGATTTTGTGTAAGGTCATTTGATATACCAATATTGTTGCTTTTAAAGAATTGACGTTTGCCGAGCACATGAATCTTATCCTCAGTGCACGCAAATTTAGCAATAATAGGTCTGGGTTTGTCAGCAGTTGCTGAGCTCTTCTGACCTATACGGTGAGCTCTCACTATATCTCTTTCTAACCACGCCTTGTCTGGTACACTGTTACTGAGAAGAGATAATATGGTATTTCTGCAATCTTCGTGGGGGCTTTCTACTTGCTCTGTGACACCTTAGAATAGCACGTTGTCCCTACGGCTGAACATTTCGAGCCTTTCTAGTGAGTTTGATTGTTCGACTAGGCCATCTTCAAGCTTATCAACATGTTCTCGCAGGGCATCAATATCGCTATACATTATCTCCTGGTCATGTTTTATAGCAACCATATCCTTACAAATATTGTCAACAGTTTTCTCTAGTGAAGAGCATTTCCTATGCACGTCTGTTAACTGATCCTTTACACCATCTATTTCTCTCATCAGTGATGATCGAAAGTCTCTAACCTCAGCAAGTATTGAGGATTTAAGACTGTTCAGGTCTTTCATAGTGATAGGGCCAGGATTTACTTCAACGTCATTGGAATGAATGATCTTCATTTGCATGATCGTAGTATATGAGCGAAAACCCTGGTGCATGAGGTCAGTAGCCGTGCACCCAGCTTGTCGCGCTTCAGTGAGCACACTGTGACGAGTGTCGTAATTGTAAACACATTTGTTTTCATGCGGCAAGAAATCTTCCAAGTGCATAATGGCATTTGTAAATGCATCTTTGTTGCATATCAAGAGTGAAGCAAGATATAGATGCAGTGTGAAGAGCACAGAGCACACGATAATGCGATGGGGCATATCATCACGCAATATCCTTTCATTTGTGATCATAAATGACTTGGAGATTGATAATAACAGACAAATTGATCAGAGCTGTTAGGCCTGCCGTGTACACCTCAGGGAGCATTCATTGTCTCTGATTATGGATGGTGTTTCTGCTCTTCCTGAGTACTCATCATCCAACTCAGAGCTTATGTGTCAGTAATTTAGTGCATTTGAAGCATGGATGGTTATGGCTGGGTATAAATCCTACCGGTTAAAGATGTAAACATAATTTTGGGTATGGTTTGGCAAGGTGTGGATGATCATGAACCTATCAGTTGACAAAATTCTGAAAGTCTTGACAAAGGATCCCATCATGTGTTGTTACTCCTGCTTTGGCTGAGTAATGTCCTCCCAGAATTATATCAGGAATACTTTTAAGGCTGGTACTTTTAAGGGTATTCTCTCGACCTGAGGGACAGTACTCAAAAGGATGACCATTCGGTTAGCGAGTTCCGGTAGGGAGCATTTAGTTAGTGTACGGTCAGAAGACCTAGAACTCTTTCCAGAAGAACATTCTCTTTAGAGGAAACTGTTAGGATCCCGTCATGTAAAAGAAAGTGTTTGGATGAGGCGGCCCTTTGGTACAAGGCCCCATGCGTTTTCCGCAAAAATTCTATCCCATTTCTCTTGGCCCAATTTGCGGTATGATGTAGCTGAATGTTGCAAAGCCTGTTGTGTATGTCAAAAGGTTGCCAAACCTAATCCCATTCCCATTTAAAACCCATTCCAGCCATTGGAAGAGCCTTAATTGCTGGTGGGGCGGTGGCATAGCCTGATGGTTAACGCATCCGTTCGTCACGCTGAAGACCCGGGTTCGATTCCCCACATGGGTACAATGTGTGACGCCCATTATTGGTGTCCTCCGCCGTGATATTTGTTGGTTAATTGTTGGTTATTTAATTGTGCTGGTTTACCTAAAGCAAGGACAGGCAATTACTACACGCCAACTATCACGTGTGCTTACTATTATCCTGAATTTCAGGGAGGTTCCAGTCCTGGTCATAAGTGAGTGAGTGAGTGAGTTATTATTTAACGTCACATCGGCAATATTTCAGCCATATCGTGACGAGAACATTCCTGGTCATAAGGTTATTTTTCCAGTACCTGGGCCTCCTTTCACAAAGCACTATTTTTTTAAGGTGATCGTAGGTGACTAAGGTAGCCTTAGTGCAATGTTAAAGAATGGGAGTTCAGGTTAACCTTAGTAAAGATTGTTTCGTGAAAGGAGCCCCAGGTCATCTGTTAGCGCTAGGTACTTTGGTCCACATGTTGTTGACGAGATAGTCATTGATACTATGTTATACAAACACTAGGCCATCATAAAAGGACAAGCATTGGTCATGACAAAATGATCACAAAGTATCATGAATGAAATGATAATGTACCTACTCTCCGTGTTGACACGGTTTCTCCTTCAGATATTGTATCAGATTCTGATAATGAATACATTATAATTGTGTAAATGACGGCATTGATGAATATCCTGGCCTTAGGCTAAGCAATCCTTGTCGTCTGAGCAAATAGTTCATGTGTCAGGGTTAATCAAGGAGTTTGTTCATTTGTTCACGGATGTATCTGGCTGGATGAATTTAATGTGTCAAGATGAAGATGTCTTAACGATTTCCTTGTGAGACAACATTGATATGATTCCAACCAAACTTGAAGCCAACTATTTCTAACCAAGTTATATTTATTAGGAAACAACAAATATGTACAAAGGGTGATTGGTATGTTCTGAGCCTCACATAGAAAGACGGTACCAATCAAAGTACTTTGGAGTAGTATATACACACACACACACACACACACACACACACACTTTGTCACTCTTCTTTTGGGTGGATTTATTTCCATTTCCGTACAAGGCATCTTAGCTGTTCCCTACAGGCTGCAGTTGATGTGATGTCATCACTGTGGTTGAAGTGGGTCCTTATGAAAGAATAAACCTGTACCCAGTTTCGAGAAATATCTTAGTCTATTTTTCATCTTACCTCAACGGTGCAGCATAACATGATAATATTTTTGGCATCCCAGAACACAAAGTCACGATACCAGCTGATGGTTATCGGATTTGTTTGGTGATTTTGGTTTGCTTTGTGTCAAACACTCCGACTGTTTTGGTTGTTATACGGATTCGGACTCAAAGGGTGAACTCCGGTTTGATCCGTAGTCACAAATCGTTTCAAACTGTTGACTATAAACAGATAGATTCATCACACGCCACGTTGTACTTAGTGCATATTTCATCAGAAGTGTGAAGTTTTGAAATACGCCAAACGTTTCCGCGATTATGGAATGCACCACTGAACGACACTGAGTTAATTTGCCGGTCTGTCATCCACATATCGTGGACTCTCTGGACCATTTCTAGTCTTGCTGACGTTCATTCCGGAACGTGCGTAATCTTCAAGATTGTCCCCTTAAGGCTTAAACTCTGCGGCCCATCTCTTTACGCATGTATTGGAATTGGAATCTTTGTCTAGAGTAGTTTGGATTGTTTTTCTGCAAGTACTTGATCACTACACATTCTTCAATTTCGTCAGTGTCTCACATGTGTCCATTTTCATTACGGCCGTAAAGTTGGTGTATTCAAAAATTAGTCACATGGACACAATTTTCTCAATTTTGTATAGACGTCATGAGTGAGTGAGTATGGTTTTACTCCGCTTTTAGCAATATTCCAGCAATATCATGACGGGGGACACCAGAAATGGGCTTCACACATTGTACCCATGTGAGGAATCGAACCCGGGTCTTCAGCGTGACGAGCGAACGCTTTAACCACTAGGCTACCCCACCACCCCATCCCTGACGTCATGAAATGCCCGCAACGTTAGAGATCATTGTTACGAAACTCCTTCTATATTAGGCTCAGAATTTATCAGTTAAGGTCATGAACTGAACTGTTTCGTACACTCGTTTTATAACTACATACATTCCCTTCGTTGTTACAGATGTCTAGCAGCTCGGAACGGAGGTTCCTGAATGCAAGCACGACTGAAAGGACCCCAGTACTGAACACACAACATGCATTAACAGCTAATGCTGTTATTGATGAAACAGACATTATCGGGGATATGAGTTATCTGAAAAGGAACACTGATAGGACGAGAGGCTTTATACTTCTCAGACCACGCTTTCAATGATGGAATCAATCAGCGATCAATCCTATCAACCACCCCTGTATAACGATTATTCATCATCCCCATTTGCTTTCATATGCTCATCAAAAAAAGTAAGGGATACTCGGAATATTTTAAACATGGGGAACATTATTGGAGATAGTAGTTTCTAGTGAATGGGTGAGTGAGTGAGTTTAGCAATATTCCAGCTATATGGCGGCGGTCTGTAAATAATCGAGTCTTGACCAGACAATCCAGTCATCAACAGCATGAGCATCGATCTGCGCAATTGGGAACCGATAACATGTGTCAACCAAGTCAGCGAGCCTGACCACCCGATCCCGTTAGTCGCCTCTTACGACAAGCATTGTCACCTTTTGTTGCAAGCATGGGTTGCTAAAGACATATTGTACCCCGGATCTTCACGGGTCTGCCAATATCTGAAGGTAGATCTAGTGAATGGTGTATGATGACAATGGACGAATTGGGAACGCACTACAACCGGTAGTGAAGTATGACAGATTAAGTTATAACTGCCGCGAGAAGACCTTACAGGACGATTGGGCTGAGGTTGGAAAATTCAAAGTTAATGAATCAATAGCGTTTAATACTGGAAGGATTTCGTACACATTCACTCAACCAGGCATACTGGACCCAGTATAGGTCTCACAATGGCGATCTGTCCCACTCTTCTTGAAGCGCCTGACCAAGTTCAATCAACGTGGCCGGAGGCCTATGATGTCTCACTATCGTGTCCCGGAAGTGTTCAGTGGCTGAAATGTGTGGGCTCATTGCTGACATGGTATTCTGTGGCTGTACTGCTGCTGGAGATGAACATTGCCGATTCGTGTACGGTGATTAAGGGCGTGTAGTCGTGTGTCGATTTGCAAGAGGCGGCACACAATTATGACCGTCGAGCACGAAGATGAACTCCATGTATTACTAACTAGATTTCCTTGAGTCTGGTTTCGGATCAATCGACCCTGGTATTCATGTCAATGAGGTCATCGGTGCTGGTTCCATTGTCGTCTAACAACAGACTGTGAAACACTGAACGTATTTGCCTCTGTATGATACATGCCAATTGCATGTCGACGCCGCATCGCTAGTTCATGAACAAACAAACTCAAATAGATCACAATAAGCAGGATCAATAACATAAATGTCCTCAGAGATTAAGCGACCTCCCTTGAAAGTGTCAACATCAGGAATGACAGCCAAGCCACGTATGCGACGATAGTCCTTGCGGCATTTGTAGACTCCAGGGTGAGTTCATGTTAATTTCACAAAATAAACATCCTTGCATATAGGATTGCTGTTGTCGAATACTTGTTATATAACATATCTCATGATCACGTTATAAGAATATATTTTCACGGTATATACAAGTGCCTGGTGTATATAAATTAAAAAAAAGGACTGTGACGCATGTTCCGAGAGAAATCGGACATAGGGCGAGTCTGATCTGACAGAAGAGGAGATGACCAGTTGTCTGCCTGGCAAGAAATCGCGTAATTTCGATTCCCGTTTGTGGTGATGTTTCTAGGTTTGCCAGCACCTTACTTGTTAAAAAGAGTAACCCATTTCTGGTGTCCCCCGCCGTGATATTACTGGAATATTGCTAAAAGCGGAGTAAAACCATCGTCACTCACTCACTCACTACTCGTTAAAGAGTCGGAATCGTACACTGGACTTCACGTTGAGTAGACGGGCGGAGAGGACACAGCTTAGACGGCTGGCACCACCCATGTCTCTTTGAGCAAGTATCCAAACAGATCATGCCTCTGTTGAATCAATGTGTGACAAGTATCGACATAATTATATGAACTTAAATACGCGATATGAGAACCATACTTAATTGTGTATCACAAGAACTAATCAATTGGAAACAAATGTGCTACTTACATCTCTTCTTAAAAGCTCTATGTTGTTTTTCTGGGGCAACAGGTACGGTGGATTAGGTAACATTTTTATTGTCATTGTCTCTTCTTTCAGTTTGAACATTGAATAGAGATTAGCATATACACGTGATGGATTGTCAGATCTAAAACGTCGGGGAGAGGGGGAGATCGGTTAGCCTAGTGGTAAAGCGTTCGCTCGTCACGCGGAAAACCCGGGTTCGATTCCCCACTTAGGTACAATAAGTGAAGCCCATTTCTGGTGTCCCCCACCGTGCTATTGCTGGAGTATTGCTGAAAGAGGCTTAAAACTAAACTCCATAACACACTCACTCACTCTAAAGACGTATCATCTAAAAACTAGCCTGATTTACCCCGTTTCTTATATGCCCGATAGACTTGATAGACCAATCGAGATTGGTTATTTTCTAGAGTTGACAGTGGTATGTTATATATGCTTATTCCTCGTGTACTTCCAGTGGTTCCTTATTCAATGCAAAACTGTCAAAGCAGAGTTATATAAATCTACCAAGGTTGGGAACATAGTCAAAAGGCTTGTCAATCACTTATTCAATATATAGGCATATTTCTGACGAATGTTAAGGGGCGGTGGGGTAGCCTAGTGGTTCAAGCGTTCACTCGTCACGCAGAAGGCCCGGGTTCGATTCCCCACATGGCTACAACGTGTGAAGCCCATTTCTGGTGCCCCCCGCCGTGATGTTGCTGGAATATTGCTTAAAGACGCGTAAAACCATACTCACTCAAGTTATAAATTAATTGGGAGCAGAGACTTGCTAATATATATTTAATGTTGTTTATATATATATACCTCCCTAACTTCTCGTTTGTGAATGGTTTAGCTCACGTTAGGAATGACATGTGGTTTCTTTGACCATTAACCTAGATTGCCACGACTTGCACGCGTTAAATGTGTAGACTTGTTTGCAGATCATTGTTCCGAAGTTTAAACAACATCTGATATTCCTACTGGACGAAGTGTTGGTCCCATGGTCACAATATAAGCTTATGGTGCCCCTATATGGTGCCTCTTTATGGTGCGCATGGTGCCTCTTTATGGTGCACATGGTGGCTCTTTATGGTGCATATGGTGCACTTTATGGTGCGCATGGTGCCTCTTTCTGGTGCGCATGGTGCCTCTTTATGGTGCGCATGGTGCCTCTTTATGGTGCGTATGGTGCCTCTTTATGGTGCGCATGGTGCCTCTTTATGGTGCGTATGGTGATTCTTTATGGTGCGCATGGTGCCTCTTTATGGTGCGCATGGTGCCTCTTTATGGTGCGCATGGTGTCTCTTTATGGTGTACATGGTGCCTCTTTATGGTGCTCATGGTGCCTCTTTATGGTGCTTTATGGTATGGTGCACTCTTTATGGTGCGTATGGTGACTTCTATAAAGTCTTTATGGTGCGCATGCGCATAGTGCCTCTTTATGGTGCGCATGGTGCACTTTATGGTGCGTATGGTGCCTCTTTATGGTGCGTATGGTGCCTCTTTATGGTGCGCATGGTGCCTCTTTATGGTGCGCATGGTGCCCTTTATGGTGCGTATGGTGACTCTTTATGGTGCACATGGTGCCTCTTTATGGTGCGCATGGTGACTCTTTATGGTGCGTATGGTGACTCTTTATGGTGCGCATGGTGCCTCTTTATGGTGCGCATGGTGCCTCTTTATGGTGCACATGGTGGCTCTTTATGGTGCGTATGGTGCATCTTTATGGTGCGCATGATGCCTCTTTATGGTGCGCATGGTGACTCTTTATGGTGCGTATGGTGCCTCTTTATGGTGCGCATGGTGCCTCTTTATGGTGTGCATGGTGCACTTTATGGTGCGAATGGTGGCTCTTTATGGTGCGTATGGTGCATCTTTATGGTGCGTATGGTGCATCTTTATGGTGCGCATGGTGGCTCTTTATGGTGCGTATGGTGCATCTTTATGGTGCGCATGGTGACTCTTTATGGTGCTCATGGTGCCTCTTTATGGTGCTCATGGTGCCTCTTTATGGTGCGTATGGTGCCTCTTTATGGTGCGCATGGTGCCTCTTTATGGTGCGCATGGTGCCCTTTATGGTGCGTATGGTGACTCTTTATGGTGCGCATGGTGCCTCTTTATGGTGCGCATGGTGACTCTTTATGGTGCGTATGGTGACTCTTTATGGTGCGCATGGTGCCTCTTTATGGTGCGCATGGTGCCTCTTTATGGTGCACATGGTGGCTCTTTATGGTGCGTATGGTGCATCTTTATGGTGCGCATGATGCCTCTTTATGGTGCGCATGGTGACTCTTTATGGTGCGTATGGTGCACTTTATGGTGCGCATGGTGCCTCTTTATGGTGTGCATGGTGCACTTTATGGTGCGAATGGTGGCTCTTTATGGTGCGTATGGTGCATCTTTATGGTGCGTATGGTGCATCTTTATGGTGCGCATGGTGGCTCTTTATGGTGCGTATGGTGCATCTTTATGGTGCACATGGTGACTCTTTATGGTGCGCATGGTGACTCTTTATGGTGCACATGGTGGCTCTTTATGGTGCGTATGGTGACTCTTTATGGTGCACATGGTGGCTCTTTAAGGTACGTATGGTGCATCTTTATGGTGCGCATGATGCCTCTTTATGGTGCACATGGTGACTCTTTATGGTGCGTATGGTGCATTTTATGGTGCGCATGGTGACTCTTTATGGTGCGTATGGTGCACTTTATGGTGCGCATGGTGACTCTTTATGGTGCGCATGGTGCACTTTATGGTGCGCATGGTGGCTCTTAATGGTGCGTATGGTGCATCTTTATGGTGCGTATGGTGCATCTTTATGGTGCGCATGGTGGCTCTTTATGGTGCGTATGGTGCATCTTTATGGTGCACATGGTGGCTCTTTATGGTGCGTATGGTGACTCTTTATGGTGCGTATGGTGCCTCTTTATGGTGCGTATGGTGACTCTTTATGGTGCACATGGTGGCTCTTTATGGTGCGTATGGTGCATCTTTATGGTGCGCATGGTGCCTCTTTATGGTGCGCATGGTGCCTCTTTATGGTGCGCATGGTGGCTCTTTATGGTGCGCATGGTGCACTTTATGGTGCGCATGGTGCCTCTTTTCTGGTGCGCATGGTGACTCTTTATGGTGCGCATGGTGCATCTTTATGGTGCGTATGGTGGCTCTTTATGGTGCGTATGGTGCATCTTTATGGTGCGCATGGTGCCTCTTTATGGTGCGCATGGTGCCTCTTTATGGTGCGTATGGTGACTCTTTATGGTGCGTATGGTGCCTCTTTATGGTGCGTATGGTGCCTCTTTATGGTGCGTATGGTGCCTCTTTATGGTGCGCATGGT